AAACGCTGGTTTTGATTGTACATCCTGGATAAAAACACTAGAGGGTTATGGTCAGTGAATACGGTGACAGGAAGATTTACTGGAACCAAGGTAAACTTCAAAGTGCTGGAGAGCAAGTAAGAGAGCAAGTGCTTCCTTTTCAATGGTAGAATAGTTAAGCTGATGTTTATTAAACTTGCGAGAATAATAACTCACCGGATGGTCTATACCATTTATATCCTCCTGAAGAAGGACAGCTCCGGCTCCAACAGCACTTGCATCTACCTCGAGTTTAAAAGTACGGGAGCAATCAGGTGCAACGAGAACAGGTGCATTACATAAAAGCATTTTAACGCAATCGAAAGCATTCTGACACTCCGCAGACCATTCAAATTTTTTAGATGGACAAAGTAATGAAGTGAGAGGGGTAACAACGGTTGAGAAATTTTTACAGAAACTGCGGTAATAACCAGCCATACCTAGAAATCTTCGCAACTCTCGTCGAGTCGCAGGGACTGGAAACTCTGCAATAGCAGTAACCTTCACTTCCACTGGTCGTACGTAGCCTTGTCCAACCTCTTTACCCAAATAAGTGACCGTCGCTCGACCAAACTCACACTTTGCCAAGTTGAGAGTTAAATTAGCTGCACGTAGACGTTCGAACACCGTTCTCAACAAACTCACATGTTCCTCCCAAGTCACAGAATATAACACTAAATCATCAAGATATGCATTGCAATTCGGTACATCAGCCAAGACGATATTTACAAGACGCTGAAAAGTGGCTGGAGCGTTTCTGAGTCCGAAAGCCATCGCTGTATATTGAAGGAACTTATCTGGTGTTACAAATGCTGAAATGTCTGACGCTTGTGAAGTAAGTGGTACCTGCCAGTACCCCTTCAACATATCCAGCTTAGTAACAAAACGAGCAGACCCCAGATTATCAACACAGTCCTCCATGCGGGGTAACGGATAACTGTCTGGCACCGTTACGGCGTTCACTTTTCGAAAATCAGTGCAAAACCTAAACGTACCGTCAGGTTTAGGCACAAGGAGACAAGGAGAGCTCCAGGGACTGCAACTAGGTCTGGCTAAGTCATTTTCAAGCAGATAATTCACTTCTTGACGCATAATAGATTTCTTGACTGCATTTATGCGATAAGCATTTTGCTTAATAGGACGAGCACCGTTTACAACAATATCATGCTGTAAGACATTTGTTTGTTTAGGAACATCACTAAACAGACAATTAAAATCGAATATTATTTGAACAATGTCAGTTTCCTGGTCAGCAGTTAAATGATTGAGATACGAGTGAAGATCTTCTAAAATTTCTGAGTTGGCTAACCTTGCACACTGCTGAGGAGCGTTGCGAAGCACGACACCATCCTCGTCAGCCCCTGAGATACCAGAAAATGGTTTCAGTTCCACGGCTATTGCGACAGAAGAGACCGCGGGCCCTGCAGTTTCATCTGAAGCTTTCACCTCAGGCATCTCCCTGTCATGGTAAGCTTTTATCATGTTTATGTGACAAACTCGGGTTTGACGTTTTCTGTCAGGTGTGTACAGCATATAATCAGTTTCACTCATTTTCTGTTTCACCACATAAGGACCAAAGAAACGGGCAGACAAAGATGATCCAGGAACAGGTAAAAGCACCAACACTTTATCACCAGGCGAAAATGAACGCGCAACTGCTTTCTGATCATATTTGCGCTTCATGCCTTTTTGAGCATTTTCTAGAGATTCTTTAGCCAGTGACCAAGCAGTATGCAAACGATCTCGAAAATTACTGACATAATCCAGTACATTAGTGCGAGGACCCGGAACACTGTTCAAAATGTGATCTTTAAAAACTTTCAAAGGTCCTCTCAGCTGATGTCCGAATACGAGATCGGCTGGACTAAAACCAAGAGATTCCTGTACAGTCTCTCTTACAGCGAATAATACTAAGGAAACTCCCTCGTCCCAGTCTCTAGCAGTTTCCAGGCAATACTTCTTCAGCATCGACTTAAGTGTCTGGTGAAACCGTTCAAGTGCGCCCTGGCTTTGTGGGTGGTACGCACTTGAGACTCGGTGAGATATTGACAACGACTCCAGTACTTGTCTAAAAAGTTTTGATAAAAAATTCGTGCCCTGATCACTTTGTACTATTTTCGGAAGACCGAAAGTAGAAAAAAATTTCACCAATGCTTTGATGATAACAGGCGCGGTAATTTTCCTTAATGGAATTGCTTCCGGAAATCTAGTGGCCATGCACATTATGGTTAACAGAAACTGGTTACCCGACTTAGTTTTAGGCAATGGCCCAACACAGTCTATGAGCACATGCTCGAACGGCTCTCCAATAGCTGGTATGGGAGACAGAGGAGCGGGGCGAATCACCTGGTTCGGCTTCCCAACAGTTTGACACGTATGACAAGTACGGCAGTACTGAGCCACATCTTTCTTTAAGCCTGGCCAGAAAAAATGTCTCAGAATCCTATCATACGTCTTTGTAATTCCTAAGTGACCTGCAAGCTGATGATCATGCGCTAAACATAACACATGTTTACGATAAGGAAAAGGAACGACCACCTGGTACACAACATTCCACTCTGAATCATTTGTGTTAGAACACCACTTCCTCATCAATAACTCATTCTCCCGAAAGTAAGCAACTTTTTGATCTTTAACTGAATCAAGAGAGACGGCAGAATTAAAAACAGCATTGAGAGACTCATCTTCTTTTTGTGCAGTAATAATTTTTTCTCGTGACACGGGTAATTTTAACGCATCGGCGTCAGACACATTTTCTCTGTTAACCTCTGTCTGTGATTTATCTATTTTTGGCGACGTACCGGCACACAATTCGTCACCAGAAAAAAGAGTGATAAAAACAGAGTCAGACAAATCAACCATATCACCCACTTTACGCGACTGAGCGCGGGTGACAGCGCATGCGGGAAAAACTTCAGGGTAAGTATGTGACACATCCAATTGACTGAACGCATCTGGCTTTTCAACAACTTCTAACACAGGCAAAATTTTCCCCCCCGCTAGATCATTTCCAAGGATAAAATCAACGCCCTGGACAGGAAGAGAAGGACGTACTGCCACTCTTACAAATCCCGTACATAAGTCACTCTGCAGGTGGATACGATGTAATGGCACAGTAATACAACTCATGTCAATGCCTTGAACTATCACACTTGAATTACAGAAAGAGTCCTCAGAGAATGGTAATTTATCTGCCACAATAAAAGACTGCATTGCACCGGTGTCTCTGAGCATTCTTATTTCTTTCTGTTCGTCACAATTTCCCTTTAGAGAAATTAACCCTTTCAAGATAAAAGGTTGATAACTGTCATCGATTTTCTCCACTCTAGGTACACTGACAGTCGGCTTACAAGTCTTCACAAACCCTACGCTCTTAGGCTGCTGCTTGCGTTTTAAAGACAGACAATCTGCGATCACATGTCCTTGTTTGTGACAGTAAAAACATTCACGATCCTCTCTCGTACGAGTTGGACTGTGTTTGGGACGGACTGGTGGGTTTTGCAAAGGAACAGATTGTGATCGCTCTGGACGTGCAAGTGCAAAAACGTTTTTGTGGGTTAAAACAAACTCGTCCGCTAACACAGCTGCTTGAGACAACGAAATTACTTTCTGTTCATTTAGGTAGACCACTACACGATCAGGTAAACACCCTTTGAACTCTTCGAGCAGTACAAGTTCTCTTAACTCATTAAAATCACTCACTTTGCTAGCTGTGCACCACTTGTCAAACAAGATTCCTTTTTCTCTAGCAAATTCCACAAATGTTTGAGCCGAATTCTTTTTATGCCCACGAAACTTCTGCCTGTAAGCCTCTGGGACTAACTCGTAAGCACGAAGTATCGCGGACTTCATAGACTCATATTTTAAACTTTCTTCTAGAGATAAAGTAGAACAGACTTCTTGAGCTTTTCCAATCAATTTACATTGTAACAATAGAGACCAGACGTCGTTAGGCCATCGAAGAGAAGTAGCTATGCGCTCAAATGTACTGAAATACGAATCAACCTCTGATTCTCTAAACTGAGGTACTAAAGAAATGTACTTACTAATGTCAAACGTTACCTGGGACGAATCAGACCGCGGAGGAACATCAGAGGTTGGACCTGGAGTCGACTGCACAGCTGAACCGGCAGCGATTTTCATTGCGTCCAGATCAAGCTGTCTCAGCTTCACCTGAGTCTCTGCCTCAATCTCAAGCCTGCGTACCTCCAAACGCAGATTTATCTCAGCTTGACGTGCCTGGGCTTTCTCCTGTGCCTCGTATTGCAAACGGGCCAAGCGGACTCTCAGTCGCGCTCCATCTCTGGAATCAACAGAACTGGGAGAGAATGGATCAAACGGTGGCAAGCCGGCCTTAGCATCGGCCCCCACCTCCGCCTCAGCATCAGCTCTACCGCTCCGTTTATCCTCATCATCCACAAAACTGCGATTTGTCACGGCAACGCCACTCCCACCAACACTCACCTCTGCACCTCCGCCAGCCTCATCACCCACAGGACTTGACACAGGAAGAACATTAATCTCTTTTAAACGATGTATCAATTTACTTTGTATCTCGCTCTTAAGGGTCTGTCTACTCACCTCAATCTGATAGTGGTCAGCTATCAGAACTAAATCTTGTTTCTTGCAAGAACTAATCTGTTCGAAAGACGGGTTGGCAATGAATTTTTTTAAGCTAAACACTTCCATGATGCACAACCAGCAAACGAGTACAAAAATACTGCTCTGCATGAATAAACCGCAAAAATAAACGTAACGTCACTTACCACTATCATACACACATACAACTGATCACAACTGAATTAACTTGAGATAAAAGATCCTGGACGAGCCCCCATTAAATGTTACGTACCCTCAAACAAGTTTGTTTGAAAGGGGCAACATTGAGGTTGTGATCAGGAGATGGTGCACGTTATAATGGCAAGAGACGACCCATACTCAGAGTTGTGAAAATATAAAGTATGATTTATTTGACAAATGATATTTTAATGCAAAGATAAATAAATATAATAATAATAATAGAGTATAAGGACATAAAGTGAAGCCAAATAAAAGAAAGGAACAAAACAAACACCAATTAACTAAACCCCAACCTCTTAGCTCACTAATAACAAAAAGAAAATAAAAGACAAAGATCTTCAGCGCAAAGCGCCCTCTCTACCTACACTAACTAATAACAAAACATACAAAAGTGGCATTCACTCTCTTACCTGGTGTAGTATACATCGAGTTTACTAGGTGTTGTTTTATGTACGTCACGTGACATTTTACCTGTCCAAATTACTCTTGGTAACCTCAAAACACGCCATCAAAGGCAGAACACGTTACAATTAGTAACCTCAAAACACGCCATCAAGGCAGAACACGTTACAATTAGTAACCTCAAAACACGCCATCAAGGCAGAACAAAACAAACAGAGTAATGTCTGTAACAGAAAAATAACGTACATACAAGCGGCAATCAACACACAGAAAGAAACAAAGCTGTCTTGCGTTCTTCTCCCGCTTCCCTTTAAACTCGTAGGTTGAACTTGATAGGCCACGGGAGGGAGATGACGTCATGATGTGAATGAAGATTGACATCGCTCTCAACCAACAGCGGACAAGAGATGACGCAAACCTAAGAATAGGATAGTGGTAGAAGAGAGAGAAGAGAAATAGAAACCAAAAGAAAACATACGACCACAGGGACGTAACACAAGTCATAATTTAGTTTTTTCGTTTTTCAAAAAAAAAAAAAGTGTTTTCTTGTTTTTTGCGTTTTCATATATGAAAGCAAAAACAAATGAACGAACGAAGGGGGCTGGGCTAATTAGAAACAACTGGAGAGACTCATCAACAAGAAAAACTACAAAGGACTACAAAACATGGCACAGAACAGGAAATAACTAAAGTCCACACAAGACAAGGAAAACACAAGACAGGAATCGTGAAATAGCCCCCCACTTAAGGAGTCTAGGAGGGAGGTGGACCCAGGGGTGGGATGGAGGGCTAGGCCCGTGGAGCGGAAGAGGGCCTGGAGACTGCGGCAGGATGCAGGGCCTGAGCGGAGCGGGCGGAGCAGGCTGTGCAGGTGGCCAAGGTGATGAAGATCCCTCGGGCGGCCAGGGCGGAGAAGACACTTTGGACGACACCGCCCTAGAAAAGTAACGCCACAAGGACAGACACACACACTAGCTCGGGAACAGGAACAGACTCTGGCTCGGAGGCGGCCATCTTGTCCGTAGACACCTAACTAACTTTAGTTGGCATTAAAGTTAGTTAGGTGTTAGGTGTCACCAATTGGCACTAAAGTGTGCCAAGAAAACATCCCCCACACCATTACACCACCACCACTTGCCTGCACAGTGGTAATCCATGTTCTCATTCTGTTTACGCCAAATTCTGACTCTACCATCTGAATGTCTCATCGACATGAGTCTCAATCGAGACTCATCAGACCAGGCAACATTTTTCCAGTCTTCAACTGTCCAATTTTGCTCTTGCAAACTGTAGCCTCTTTTTCCTATTTTTGTGTAAATTCAAAGCAAATAGTATGAGAGTCAGTTATTTCCAGATAGATTGTGGCACCAACACAACATCCAAAAAACACCTGATCAAGTTCCTCTTGGCTTTTTCTTAACTGAAACAAATGTGTTTTAATAAACTCACAGTTACAGCAGCCTGAGAGAAACAAATGAGACTACAAACTTTATTATTTTCAATAAAACATCAATAACTAAACATCTGTTAATTCTCAACAAGAACTTTTGTACATGTATGAAAGAAACTGGGCCCTATCTTGCACCCGGCGCAAATGACTTTATACACTGACGCATGTCTCATTCCTTTTTATTTATTTATTTTATTTAACAGTCAGACATACAAACCAACATAGTGCAGTAGTGAACAATCTTGTAATTCCATAATTTCAGAAGTGAAATAAAAGTGTTAATGTATAGGTGTGTGGGTAGGTGTATGTGCGTGTACGCGTAAACAAAGTAACCATTTATTATTTATTACCATCGTCATTACCATCACCACTTCCACTCCCCACTACCATCATACTGCAGTGCCAATATTGTATTAGTCGATTTTTTATTTTTATTTCCATCTTTCCTCCTATGTAACAATTGCCATGTGTAACGGAGGCCAACTAGTAGTTGTTGTGCGAGTAAACCTCACTCCCCGATCTCAATAGGCGCTCTAGCGACAGACGCTAGAGGCTGCAGTCTTTAGCCTCCTTGTTAGCGCGCCTGACTCTCACGCCGGAGACCCAGGTTCGAAGCCCGCTTGGAGCGGGGCGAGTAGGACCCGGGTGGAGGGGTTACATTGGTGCCGTGACCCGGATGAGAGTGAGGTTTAGGGGGGTGAGTGTAACGGAGGCCAACTAGTAGTTGTTGTGCGAGTAAACCTCACTCCCCGATCTCAATAGGCGCTCTAGCGACAGACACTAGAGGCTGCAGTCTTTAGCCTCCTTGTTAGCGCGCCTGACTCTCACGCCGGAGACCCGGGTTCGAAGCCCGCTTGGAGCGGGGCGAGTAGGACCCGGGTGGAGGGGTTACACATGGTCAACACTGCCTAAAATAAAAGATGGTATAATAAGATAACATAGAATAGCCTTCCCTCACATATCTTCAGTCCCTATCTTCTCTTATAATTTATTTATTTATTTATTTTTTGTATTTTATGTGCAATGTAATTTTATGTGCATTAAAAGAGGGAGTACAGTGTGGGAGTACAGCTGTCCCATGGAAAGCATTTCTTGCCTGTTTTGCCTGCCTAGGTTTTTGTGAGGTTTTTCATGTATCATACCTTTTATATATTTATATATATCCTTTTTTTTTGCTCCTTCCCTATTCTACGTTGTGGTGGATTAAAAACACATGAAAAGATAAGGGGATGAAAAGATAACCCCTTTTAAACGTGCGTTGGGCGCAAGAGTAATTTTTCACGCCGGTAAAATAGCAACAGCACCGAAGACCCGCTCACAAAGTTACTTGATACTTGCTTTTTGAGATCGTTATAATAGGGCCCATAATGTTAAACTGGTTTGTAAACTGCATTCACACTCAGTGGCTGGAAGTCAGTTGTAGTTCTCTTTTTTTCTGTTCTTGTTTCTCTGTCCTTCCGTGATTCTACTTATCAGGTGTTCATCAGTGCCTGAATTCACTCACTTTTCATTCAAGTGGACTGTTTTAGTGAACTAATGTAGGGAATAGTGAAAAAGGGTTTAGGGTTAGATTTTGCACACAGCTACTGACCCACAAAGCAACGTTGTTTTGGCCCAGACCCGGCCGACATCTGGCACTTGAGGGATGCGAATCTGGCCCACATGCAGCAATGACTGACAGCGCTTTGGTGGCCCACTCCTGTTTGCCAGATCTGCAATCTATATCTCCTTGGCCATCGGGACCAACGTTACCGGGAGATTCCCGGTGGGCCGACGTGCTTTTTCGGCCGATATATCTCTATACTTTTTTTTATTTTTTTATTTGTCTTAACGGCCCATAAACTCATACATTGGCCAACCCATTCGTTTTTTTTTGTTTTTGTTTTTTGCTTAATTGGTGGCGCTGGGTTAGTGTGGTGTAATGCATTGGTCAAACAAAGTCAGAGTTAGTTTTTTTTTTCTGACACACCGGCCCATGAAACGTGTCATTATGTGCTTATATCTTTAAGTATAGTAATTAGTACAAAACTAATTATGAAAGTTTCCTTTATTTTTCAGTGCATTAGTTTTACAATAGCCTATATGGTTATTATTATCATGGGATTAATATTATAACTATTATTGCAGTGTAATGTAGACAGACACTAACTAAAAGAGGTTTGAATATTTCTTTGTTTAATTTGGACCCTGCATATGGGTTGGAGCTTTTAATTTTGATTTCAAAGTGCACCAGACTGCTGAATTTAACATTAAAGAACACAAAATTTTCTTACGAGGGAGCATGACCCTGTACTCCCCTACAGAAACCAGAGAAGGTCCACCTACCACAGATTTACCTAAAATGCTTTCAGAAACAATGGTATTGCTGTTCCAATGGAGCCTATAGTTTTCTTAGGGGGGTTCATCACAGTGGAGTAGCTATAGTTTAATTGTATTAATAAACGACAATTTTGCACTTATTTTTCTGTTAGCTTCTGTTGGGGGGGTGGGGGCATACCCCTCTGACACTGGGTAGTTGCGCCCCTGCCTGTAGGATATTTTCTTAAAAAAATATAACTATAATCCATAATGCATTGTTTCCTAAAGTAGATTAATGTTTTAATGGCAAATGGTATGATACTATTAGAATTTGACCTTTTTTTACAGCAAGGGTTAAAGTGTGTATGTCAGGTTAAATTTGTAAGTATGATTAACACAAAATACCAGCAACAGAAGCAGTGTACAGAAGGCATCCATGACGTAAAAAAGGGGCCAAAGCCAAACATATATAATATAGTGAATAAATAATTCCACTCAACGCGGTCAAAGGCCTGTTCTGCTTCTAACGAGATTACTGGACGGAGAAAAATTAATATTTAAGAGTCGACGAATATTTGATGATAATTGTCGCCCCCTAATGAAATCAGTCTGATCTTCAGATATTATTTTAGGGAGGCAGGGCAAGCCAGCTCTTTAGCCAGTAGTTTAACATCAGAATTTGACAAACTTATGGGCATCCAATTGCTGGTAAAGGCATATTTGATAAAAAAAATACTGGTGCACACCTTGATACTTTAGTTTATATGGTCTGTTCAATCTGGTTTTAGAGCCTTTAATGTACACATATTATCCTCTTGTCAAATTCAAATGGGTCAAGTAGTCCCAATCAATCCCATTCGAAACTCATCACTGGCTGCGTTTAAGTCCACTTATTTATGGCCTTCCCTCACTAACCTCCCTCAGTCTCATTCAATCGAACCTACATCAGAATGCCCACTACTAGCAGAACTCTTGCAATGCATTTAAAAGGCCCTAAGCACTTGATCACTTGTGGGTAAATTAAGTGTGAGAACTGCGAATTGCTGTTCTACAGATCTACAATACCTATGGAACATACTGAATGAGTAGACTCGCTCCCTCGAATATCAAGGGTCTGCCCAAATAAACTTCCCTCGTCCACTAGACAAAGCTGAACACACTTCAAAATGACAGCAAGTATTCCCGGAGGGGAAGTGCTTGAGGAAGTTCATGAGTGTATGTTTAAAAGTGCAGTTAAACACAGCTATATCTGACAACGGTAGGGTAGAATGAAAATTATGCCATTAATGACTCACCCTCATGTCGTTCCAAACCCGTAAGACCTTCAGAACATCTTCGAAACACAGTTTAAGATATTTTAGATTTAGTCCGATAGCTTTCTGTCTCTATTGAAAATGTATGTACAGTATACTGTCCTTGTCCAGAAAGGTAATAAAAACATCATAAAAGTAGTCCATGTGACATCAATGAGTTAGTTAAATTTTTTTGAAGCATCGAAAATACATTTTGGTCCAAAAATAATTTGGTCATTGCGTTCATGAGTCCGCAGTGATGCTGCTGACGCAAGACGCTGCTAAAAGTTGAACCATTTTAACTATTGAAAAGATTCTACTACAAAGACATCGGACATGGCTAACTGATTTTTGGTCACAAATTTATAATACTCTAATCAGGGGCGGGTCCACGTGGTGGCCAGGGGGGGCACCGGCCCCCCCTGAAATTCGATTGGCCACCCCAGGTGCC